GCTAAAAACGCCTTACTATACATGGTCGTTTTTTTTGGCTAAAAACGCCTTACTATACAGGGTTGGTTTTTTTCGGCTAAAAACACCTTACTATACAGGGTTGTTTTTTTTTCGGCTAAAAACGCCTTACTAGACATGGTCGTTTTTTTCGGCTGAAAACGCCTTCCTATACATGGTCGTTTTTTTCGGCTAAAAATGCCTTGCTATACATGGTCGTTTTTTACGGCTAAAAACGGCTTTCATGGTCGTTATTTTCGGCTAAACACTCCTTACTATACATGGTCGGTTTTTTCGGCTGAAAACGCCTTCCAATACATTCATCAAAATGTATGCTAAATTTGCCATAAATATTTAAAAGAAAAGCTTAAGTTAAAAGAGCCGTTTGAGAGCCAAAAAGGCTCTTTTCACTGAGCCGAGCCAAATGAACCGGACCACTGAAAAGAGACGAAAATCCCATCACTAGAAAATGAAGTCTCCTTTCCAGGCGCGTGTCACTGACGTTTGGTCACATGACCAGGGAAAAGTGACGTCTTGTTTGGGGTTTGTTCGTGTCCTGCGGAGAAAGTCACGTGACAGAGAACAAAACAAAAAAAAAAACCAAAAAAAAAAAAACGAAGCCTCGGTTGGGGCGGTGCTTGGTGAGCGGGAAAGGTCACGTGATCAGGTACGAGGAGCCTCGCATTCACAGATAACATTCAGTTATTCAGTTCATTTGTAGTGTGTACAGAGTATTATAAATTTATACAAACATCTACACACGGAAGTTGGAGTAAAGTGACATTTTAATCTCAAATACAAACTGTAATACTGCTCACTGTGCAACAGGGGTCGTTTAAGGGCTAATATGAATGAACCATTGGCTGATACATGAGAGACAATGTCTCCGACCTTGATTCATGAGGCTTCACTTTGCCCAGCACTAGTAATAGGTCGTCCTCGCTGTCAGGCAGCTTGTGTTGCCTTCTGAATGCAGTGTCGGGATATTGTAGATTCATTCTCTAGTTCATGTTGCGAGTATAAAATGAGATGCTGAATCACTTTATTAAAAATTGTAGGTGTAAGGTAATATGCCAGCAGTCACAAACTGATAAGACGTTGCTTTTGACCTTTCGAGGGTTTCTGAGTGCTTGTCATATATGAGCACACAATGATAATGTCGATGACTTTATTTTAATCTTAAATCTCTTTGGACGCGCACACGCACACAACAAAGCATTGCAAAATCTCAGAAGCTTGGTCTGAGGAACAACAATAACGGCAGAGTGGGAACAAAAACAATAGTTTGCCTTTTGCTGTATTTTATTTTAAACTGGAACCATATTTCAGAAAGCAAAATCAAAGTGCGAGAGTGACTCAAAACCCCTTTAAGACTAATACACGGATGGGAAGAAAAATGCTCTTTTGGCGCAAAAGGAATGGCTGGCTTTGTAAGACCTCTGACAGATCACTGGAATGCCTTCATTACATCATTCAGGAATATATAACAATAAATACAGAGTACAATGCCGAACTCGTCTTAAGGTGGGGAATGAAACAATGTCTCGTTAGTTCGTCTGCTATAGCGGAGGCTGCACAGAAGCGGTTATGGCACTGGAAGTGTTGACACGCTTGCATGAACAGAGATTGTCACAGTGTTAACGCATGGAGAAAAAAAAAAGCCTCCATCTGGGAACTAGCCACAGAGTAATGTCATTCATACATATATAAACAGCTTTGTTATTTATATACAGACAGATAAAACATCATCTCCGTGATATTATTTCGGTGTGTCGCCACTCTTATTAACATACATTCAGTTCTTCCCCTCACACACATACATACAAACAATTCATGGCTCCACCCCCCTCCAAAAAAAGTGGGCGAAAACACAACACAACACGGCATTCATTTTGGTGAGAGCGATGCGTGTTTCACTGCAGCATGTTATGAACAAATGAAATCATGAATAAAAAGATTGGCCCGGTGGTGGCTGGTGACAATGTTGGGAGATTCCTCCATGCGGATGAGCACACTAGACAACTTCAAAGGCAGTTTTTAAGAAGCCTCATTTCCACTGAGCAACACGCTTCGGTCCAGTTTCGGCGTTTACACTGTCATTATTTAAAAAAAAACAAAAAAAAAAAAGAGGCAGTTTTTAAGAAGCCTCATGCCTCATTTCCACTGAGCAACACGTTTCGGTCCAGTTTCGGTGTTTACACTGTCATTATTTAAAAAAAAAAAAAAAAATCCCCAAATATTGAACTCATTCTCACATGACAGTGCTGAGCAACACATTTTACTTGGTCGTTTTACGTTCGTCCCGCTAAACACATTCCATTTTAAGTGGCCTGTCAGTTAACTGCCATTAGTGCAGTTGCAAAAACATACTAAGTCAAATGATTTTTTTTCTTTCACTGTCATTCAATGTTTTGGAGCCAATGCCGTAGTGCAGTTGCAAAAACATACTAAGTCAAATTATTTTTTTTTCACTGTCATTCAATGTTTTGGAGCCAATGCCGTGCAATGGGAGCCAAGTGCCAAGCCGCACCTCTTGGTGGTGAAGTGAGTGGAATGAGTCCACAAAGCAAAATGCGCTCAAGTGCCAAAGGGAAACGCGGCACAGAGGTTAATAATCTGAAGCCGCACCTCTTGGTGGAGAAGTGAGTGGAATGAGTCCACAAAGCAAAATGCGCAGATAGCCGCCAACTGCGGCACTTTCTGCAATGTGACACTTGTCTTTTTTTTTTTTGGCAAAATATAAAAAAAAATATCAGAAGTTATTCCCACTCCAATCAAACACGGTGATAACTGGTCAAGGAATCGTCAATTCAATGGTCTTCAATTGAATGCTCTCTTTTCTTCTCCTGTCTTGTCCTACAAGAGTGTATAGGAAAGTCTTTGCAGTCTTATATAGAGATGGAACCAATCCATGGAATGCAATAATAGCCATGTAACGAATGGAAATGCACGGCGGATGAATTACAGATTCGAACATTACAAAGCCCTCCTTTGAATCTATTTCAACGGAAGGCAAACTAACTAATGGACATTGATCTGAATCGTGGAAAAGTGGTTAAAACGAGTCCACAAAGCAAGCCAGCGGACGGCTGACGATTCAACACTCGATCTGCGACTGCAGCTGCCGGCGCAGCGTGAGCGTGCGGCGGTGCAGCTGCTGCATCTGCTGCATGCGGTCCCGCTGGCGCGCCAGGTTCTGGGGCATTGGGTAACGCTGGCAGCCGTACAAGAAGCGGTAGGGCACGCGCACGTGACAGGCAGTGGCGCGGCACCGCGGCTGCGGCATGGGAGGTAGCAGCATCCAGCGCCTGCGCTCGGCGCAGTAGCGGTACGCTTCCTTGCGGTATTGCTTGTCCACGTCGTCGCTGTTCTTCCAGCCGCCGATGATAAAGACGTCGTCGTCGAAATGGCAGATGGCGGCGCCCTCGATGCTGGTCACCTCGGGCGGCAGGCTCTCCAGGATCTCGTCTGGGACGCGGGCGCTGATCTTCTGGCGGGCCACCTCGTCCCGCATGCTGTAGCTCTTGGGGCAGCAAGAGGCCGTGTGGTAGAAGTTGGTGGCGGCCACGGCCATTTGGAAGACGCAGTAGTTGTCCACCAGCGGCAACGAGTCCACGTCCTGCCACTGGTGGCTGTCGGTATCGTAGCGGGTGGTCACCGTCTTCAGCCCGTCGTCTTTGTCCGTGTCGACGGGCGTGCGCGCCGTCACGTACACGTAGCGGTCCTCCACGCTCACCGCCTTGACGTCGCGCAGGATCTTGGGCGCCGACTCCAGGTTGTGCCACTTGTCCTGCTCGGGCTCGTACACGCTGACGTCCTTGAAGCCCGGGCTGAAGTTGCCGTGGCCGCCGATGCTGTACAGGATGTCCTTGATGCAGGTGAGGCCGAAGGAGTGCTTGCGGGTGGTCAGGTTGCTCACCTGCTCCCAGGTGTTGTAGTTGGGGTTGTAGCGCTCCACCGTCTTAGCGAAGCCCGGCTCCATGGAGCCCGCCACGTAGACGTGCGAGTCGGTGGCGGCGATGGCGTGGCCGTCCAGGTGGTTGTGGATGTGCGGAAGGTTAACCCAGCGGTCCTCGTAAATGAAGTAACCCACACACTCGCTCAAGTAGTCCCCGCCCTCCGACACGCCGCCCACCACCATGATGACATCCATGTTTTGGCCGAAGCGCGGCTGGAAGGACACCACGAACGAGGACCATAGCTCAAGGTCGGCCAACTTGAAGTTCTCAAAACGGATCGCGTAGCCTTCCACGGCCTCCGACACAAGGCGCAGGCACGCCTCGTTGGCCGCCACCAGCCGCTCGTTCTTGACCACTCGCGTCAGGTAGGTGGGCTTGATCTGAGGCAGCCTGAGGAGGCGGAAGAGCTCCTCGAAGTAGCCGCCGCGCTCTTCGGGCATCTTCTGCACCCACTTGACCACCGCTTCGAACAGCACCTCCTCCGAGTCAACCGTGATCTGGTCGTCTGACAGCCAATTGCGCACCAGGTGGAAGGGCAAAGTGTAGAATTCCTCATCCTGAATCACCTTGTGGAAGTTGCGGCGGATCATGTCAGCCGCCCGCAGGGCCAACTGATCCAGTGTGTACATGTGCGCCAGACTGTGCACCGCCACGCAGTTGGTCAGGCTCAACTTCTTCTTCAGGAACTCGCCGCAGAAATCCTTCAGCTGGACCAGTAGGAACCTGGAAATATAAGACACAAGAGCTCATGGGTGAGATACTACAGAGCCTATAGATAGCGTATAGATACTACATATACGTATAGAAAATATATGACAATCGTGTGTCTTTTCCTTTCTTTTATATCTGTAGATTAGACACTCATGTTGATACACAGTGAACCTAATTATCACGGAAGCATTCCAGATCCACCCGCAATGTGAAAATCCACAATACAGAGAGAGACTATGTTTAAAAAAAAAAAAAAAAAAAAAAAAAAACATTGCTTAAAGACAGATGAGGACGGAGGATGATTTTTATATGAAATGACTCTGTCCTGCATTGCAAGTGTTTCTTGAGGTGGTGCAGATATATACAAAATGGTACCTGTCAGCTAGCTCCAGGACTTCATGCACGTTGCAGGTACTGACACGAATCTCCCCGGTGTACATGTACTGGATGACGCTCTCCACCGTCTCGGGGTCGGGTCCCATCTCCGAGCTCCACTCCTTCATGTCCACGCGGCCAGACAGCGACTCGGAGAACTGTCCGCCCAGCAGCGGCGTGAAGTAGTCGGTGGCGGCGGCCAGCACCGAACGGTGGGCCGCGAACTCGCACGTCTGGACGCCACCGGCCGCCGCGCCGCTGCTGAAGGCGAGCATGACGTCGCAGAACAAGCCCTGCTTGCGCTGCTCGTTCTGCCGCCGCGACAGCTCCGAGCAGTGGGAGGACGACGCGAAGTCTTCCGCCTCTTCCGTGTCGCCATCCGCGGCCAGGGAGCTCGGGGTGCCGCAAACGCCGCCGCCGCTCCCACCACTACTCCCACTACTACTACTCCGGGCCGAGTCCTCCGGGTTGGGGGCCGCCGCCGCCATTCCGTTCTCCGGTGACCAGAGGACGGGTAAAGTAAAAAAGGAAGCCGGCTCGTAGAATCAGGCGAAGACAGGCACACGACGAGAAGTCAAAACCGAGCGCCACATTGAAGCGCTCACACCATTTACGGAAGTCGGCCGCCGCCGGAATGCTACGAAACTAGCTCAAAACAGCGCAGACTTGTTTGAATAGCCCTCGCCATATAATTCTTCCCCCACGCAAAATTTTCGGGAGCTCCACATTTGGGTAGATATTTTTGTTTCTTGTCCGAACGTTCACGAGCAGAATCGTAAACCGCTCACCAAAACAAGACTGACTTCGTCCCAGACCTCAGACTGAGCTGCTGACAGAAAGTGACCTGCGCAGTAGGGAAAATACGTCATCGGCGGACTTCCGGCGCGGAAGAATCGTTTTTATTCATTTTAATTCTGAAAACCATGTCTTTAATTATATATATATATATATATATATATATAGAGATATATCTATATAGAGAGAGAAATCAATTCCAAGTGTTTGTGACGTCACATAGCCATTGCTTACTTTACTCCAAAAATAAAAACCACACGTAACCAAGGAAAACACTTGTTTACTGGCACTTTTAATTCCACAAATATCGACACAGCACAGTCAGTAGAGGCACGTTCAGCTCACACACAAGCGTTGCCGTTATCAAACCCCAAATCGCTTGTGGAGGCTCTCAGTCGTACAGGAAAGTTCCATCGTAGAAAGGGTTCTGTCAGTCGTCATCTGTACCTGTGGGTAAAAAACAAAAACTGTTGCCGGAACACATTTGTGAACTGTTAGAAATATGCCTCAACACAACTTACTTCAAATTCAGGGACACGTTTTACCACCAGGTCTTTGGATGTGCCATGGGATCCCCTGTGTCTCCCATTGTGGCCAACTTGTACATGGAAGAATTTGAAAATTTGGCAATGTCTTCATACAAAGGTTCCCCACCAAGCCATTGGTTTAGATATGTGGATGACACCTTTGTCAAAATCAAAACAACGGAAGTTGAGGGATTCACCGAACACATAAATAATCTAGACGACAGCATCAAATTCACCAGAGAAGACGCAAAAGACAACGCACTGGCCCTTTGGATTGCAAGGTCAGCTTAGAGCAGGACAAAACTCTTAAGGTTGAGGTCTACAGAAAACCCACCCACACAGATCAGTATTTGCATTTCAACTCCAATCACCCGCTGCAACACAAGCTAGGTGTAATTAGAACACTTGAACACAGCGAGCCAAATCTCCACCAACACCAAGTCGAGAGAGAGTGAGGTCAAACACATCGAGAAGGCATTGTCAGGGTGTAGCTACCCTAAATGACCTTTGGCAAAGTTAGGAAAATTAAAACAAACAGAGAGGAAACCAACCAACAGAGAGAAAAGAAGAGAAGGGGTGTCTGTGTACCTTATATTGCCGGCCTCTCAGAGAAAATACAAAGAATATTTCTACAACATGATATTCCTGTTTATTTTAAACCGATAAACACATTGAGACAAAAACTAGTACACCCCAAAGACCGGGTTCCTAACACCCAAAAATGCAATCTGATTTATTCCATCCGTTGCCAAGAAAGTGAGTGCAAGGAACATTACATTGGAGAAACCAAACAAACATTGAAGAAAAGACTTTTATCAACACAAATGGAAAAACAATGATAACAAAAGTGCAGTATACGCACACTTAAAAGAAACAAACCACACAATTGAAGATGAACAAGTAAAAATCCTTGGAACAGAAAAGAGATGGTTTGAAAGGGGAGTAAAGGAAGCGATTTTTGTTAAAAAATTTTCACCCTCTCTGAACCGTGAAGGAGGTATCAGATTTAACCTGTCTCCTATTTACAATAACTTGTTGACCAGTAAGGGACATAGACATGCTGATCAGGCTAACTGAAAGTAGCTATTCAGCCTTAGCCCAAACAATAGGCCTAATCAAGACCCAATGATAGGGAATTTAGAAACCAATGGGCCTCTTCACCATAGGGGCGTGACTAACCATCCCCACACAGTCCTCAAACAGGCCACGCTCAGCTTTTTAGCGCAGAGCAACTTCCCGGAGTCTTCACGGAGACTTCAGGTTGTCTACCGCTGACGAAGCTTCTGTGAGAGAAGCGAAACGTCCTTTTTTGTTTTTTACCCACAGGTACAGATGACGACTGACAGAACCCTTTCTACGACAAATCCCAAATCGATATACTTGTTTTGTAACGAGTTGTTGTCATGATAAACAATAACACTGGTTAACAGCAAATTTTAATCACAGATGGCATTGTGTGTCTCTAAATCTATTTGTGACACTGATTTAAAAATTGTTTTTACTTTTTTTTTCTTGCACATCACGTTTTTGAGATGATTTGGTCTTCTCTTCTCAATCATTTCCTGCATCTCCACAGGCCTATAAAAGCCTGGGCGATACAGATTTTACCGTGCGTTGTACATTTCATGAAAAAAAAAAATCCAACTGTTTCTGAACCTAATCCTCAACTCATAAGTATACATAGTGCATATGGTCACATATATATTGTGACCATCAAAAAACAGGGCAGATTTGGAAGCAGTGGAATTCATTCATTAAAAAAACTTGCGACAATGAATGGTCCCTTTTGCCACAAATAGCCAAGACATTATGGACGATTAAAACACCTTTTCTGATTAGTACCACTACAGTAAACATATATAAAGCTATTATGATGATCATAAAATTGCACATTGAGTGGAGCTGCACATAGACATGAGAACATGATGGACGATTTAAACTTCTGTCACTTGTCAAGACCGGACATGTCTGAGAGGATCTTCACAGTGTTGCATTTTTTCACTAGTGTCTTATATCAACAATTTAAATGGCAAACCATTTTACGCAGTACCGTTTGAACCGTAACATATTGATGACATATGCCAAATCTTCAGCCTTGGCTAAGAGCGGATCCTACATGGACATGTGTTCCGGGAGCACGTAGGAGATGTCGTCCCAAGGGTGACGATACAGACCCTGCTTTAGCCTCTTCTGATCCAGGTAGTGTCCTAAAAAGACAAGTTTTGTTATTATTAATACTTATTTAACCACTTACAGTATGTCCTTCTTGGCTTCTCGCACCAATAAATCCCATGCTGCGACCCAAGACGAAGATGCCGTTCAGGGCGCCAATTTCCACAAATTCGTCTGCTTCATCCCTGCGAAAAAAAATTTATTTGTGAGAATAATTAAAATTGAATTGCAAACAATTGTTCAACAAGAGCGAAGAATTTTGGCTTCCTTTGTGTCCTTTATTTCTTCTTCTTTTTTAGGTGTAATGAAGTCTATTTAGCTTAATGCTAATAGACAAGCATATAATTATTTATTCTTTTTCAAAAATGAGTAACATTACTTCAATTTACCAAGCCAGTTCTGAAACTCCTAAGTGTGTGCGTTGCACCGCCCCCTTGTGGCCAAGGTGCGCGCACACACAATAAGGAGCAGCACAATTCCCTTTCAAGCAAAAACTGTGGGCCTTTGACGGTATTTGTATGTATATGTTACTGCTGATTGAACAATTTGGTGCTGCTGCTGATCCAAATTGTTGGGCCACCTTAGTGGTGTTAATTGACTACCTGGTAAATCCACCACAAGTTCGGAGCAAGTCCACAAAGGCCACACCAATGAAGCCGTCCACGTTCAGGATCAAGTTGGGTTTCTAACACAAACAGAGTGTTAAACACACAGTGTGTTGTGACAGAGAAGAACTAAAGGGGGTCTTACTTTTGAGGTGGTGATCTTCTCCACATCCAGCGCGTAATCCAGCAGCTGCGTGGAAGGGAAGTGCTGCTTCACAAAGTCCTTCAAGATCTGGACTCGCATGTCGGGATTGTTAATCTGAGATAGAGAACATACACAATACCCGCCACACCCTCAAAAATATGACACAACAAGGAGTGGTCGTACTCACGAAGTTTTACTCACAGACTTGACCCTGTGGCCGATGCCCATGATAAGCTTGCCGTCCTTCTTCATCTTGTTGACAAACTCCATGGGCAGCATGCCGCTGTCGAAGGCCTTGCTGAACTGCTTGGCTGCGGCATCCAAGGCACCTCCAAAGCGGTCACCCTGTGAAAAGAAACAAGCCACAAAATGATTACAATTTTTTTTTAGCTATTTGTTGATGGCCATAGGTCATTTTGGAAGATATACATTTTTTGTGCCCATATAATATGATGAATTGAATTGTCACATCTGCTCCTTAAAATGGTTAAAAAAAAAATAAAGGTTTAATAAACGGAAAAATGAGCTTCAGGTCTTCCTTGTCTAACAGAAAAAAGCCATCTAGTGTCATCTTTAGGCAATTACACACCTTGGATGTGCGTCACTTATGGATCTTCACTGTTTGCGCAACAGGGTTCTGTCCCGATCCCCCCCACGATCGCTTGTTTATTTTCAAATTTGTCCACCTTACAGCGCCATTTTGCCCCAGTTCAAAAGCACGCAGCAAAACGTCGCAGGGTCCACGTTTTTTCTGCAAAGGTGCCTTGCTGCCGATAACCGTGTGTCGTCGTTCCTTGTATGTCGCCGAACTGTTAGAGTGAGTCGATCTAAACTGAGCATGATCAATTCTGACGTAGCTCTTGTGTTATTTATCACTTCATATCAGTGAGCGTACGGTTCAGAGCGTGTCTTACAATGGTGAGCAGGCCAGAGGTGAGACTGGAGATCAGATCTTTGCCAGCTCGGGCGCACACGATGGTGTTGTGGGCGCCGGATACTGCGGGACCGTGATCGGCTGTCACCATGAGACACATCTCGATGAATTGGCAGGCATATCTGGGCAGCCTGGAGAAAAGCATACTGGATCATTTCATTGTTTTCTCAGTAGTTGATCTCAATTCGAAGGATGAGTACACGGACCTCCTTTGGAACCACAGAAGCCCCAGAGTGCCCCCCAGGCCAATTTCCGACTTGAAGACCTCCGTGATGGGCATGCCAGCATAGATGAGCTCCTGCCCCCTCTCGTCGCAGATGCTGGTCATGAAGGATGCCGGTTTGCGGATTAGCCCCAGCTCCTGCAGAGCAAACACACCAGAGAGAATAACCATTTAATACGGAAGATGAAGTCATTGAAAAAATGGACACAAAGTATGCACATTTTACTGACTCGTGCCCAGGAGTAATCCATCGGAACTGTGGGAGGGGGCAGCTCCGGTGCTGGTTGGATGACTCCTTTGCCCACCAGATCGTCATATACAGACCTGCATGGATGGAATGGTGACTTTTAAATGTTTGTATACTAATCGAATTGTAGGTAATGAAACACTATTGAACAGTAACTTCGACTGACTTAATGATCTCTCCCAACTCATCAAAGTTGTTTGGCACAA